CTAGTAAAACATACTATATTTTCTGAGCCAAAGTATGCAGTGGCTGTTAAAATGTGAATGACATAAGCATGACTGTCTAACAAAGTGGTCTTCAAAATACGCTGTTGGAATGAACCCCATTTCCCTTCTAATACTTAATAGTGATGGGGTGCTTTGAAAAATATGCTATCGTGAAATCCTGTAAGCTAACAAAATGACCTTAATGTTGCTCTGGCAGTAGGATGGCAAGCTGATTGACCATCTTTTAAAAAATATACAAACTATGATAATTATCATTTGCTATAATTTTTTTGCTTTGATTACTAAAGAACAGTATAATCAAAAGTCCATGAGTCATCTACTCTGAATATCTGTACAGAAGGGGAAAATTTAATAGGTACAGAACCACTATTAAGCACTAATTCAAATGCAGTGATTTTTTTTTCTTGTAAGAAGTAGAAATCTAAAGATGTATCATTTTAGTACTCATGTTCATTCATAATTATGTTTTTATTTTTATTACAGCAATTTATATGCCACCCAATTCTGAAAAAGCTCTAAGCAGGCTCCTCTTTAACAAAATGTTATATTGGCACCAAGGATCATTATATTTTTGAATCACTTTGTGTGAGATGGGTGGCTCTATAAATATGATAAATAATAATAATAATAATAATAATAATACTTTTTGCATTGGTTTCTCTACTTCCTACTTTCTCTATCTTTGAGTGAAAGAAAAGACCATTTTTATAAACTATGAACTTTAAGATGTGTAATATTATAGCTTACTGCCTGTCTATCTGATGCAAGAATGTACTACAGGTTGTCCCCATTTAGAAATTGCCTTGTTTAGCAACTGTTTGCAGTTATGACAGTGATGAAAAAGTAACTTTACAACCAATTCTTGCATTTACAACCTTTGCAGGTCTGTAAAGCAAATGAAAGCTGAAGGATGATTGTAAGCACAGTCGGTTTCACTTAGCGACTGCTTTGCTTAATGGCCGAGTTGCCAGTACCAATTGTGGTCGCTAGATGAGGACTACCTGTGTAACTTACTCACACAAGTTACATGTTTTGATGAATTAACTCCAGAACCTGCTCCACCAAGCTACAGTCTCCCTTTCCAGTTGCAGCTCCAGCCACTGGTTCTCAATCTCTCTTAGAATCAGAAAACCATTGTGAACAGAATTATCAGCTGCCCAATGGTAATGCTAGTTCTCTTCTGAACAAAAAATTAAGTTGTCTTGTGGTAGATTCTGGTGAAACATTAAACCATTGGCTTGGCTACGCTTAAGTGGTTGCTTGTGTTTCTAGAATGGCAAACATAAGAACTGCAGAAAGATTTGTATATGATTTGGTTACGTTACAATGCATCTAACATTTATGGCCCTGCACTGCTGCCAAACATCCCTAGGACCTAAATCTGGGAGCACAGCCAGTGCCTACTAATATAGCTGAACAAATGCAGGTTTGTTTTTTTTTAATCAGTATTCTTGTGTTATAAAAACCAAGAACAGACATTTGTTTTATTTGCAGAATGTATACATGAAAAAAATAATAGCAATTCAATGGACTAAGCATTTATTGTGCCTTCCCCATCTTAAAGCCAAAAGTGCAAACATATGGAGATTTTCATTTTATTTGCCTGTAACCATAATATTCAACAATGAACTATTAATAATAGAAGCTTATAATTAAGTTTGAGAGTAAAGCTGATTCATCAAAAAATATATTTAGAGTGTATTGGACTCCCCAAAGAATGTACTTGAAAGAATGACATCGGATTTTCTCTACTGGAGAAAATTTGAGGGATTTTTGACCCATATTATTTGGTCCTCTGAATTTTTGGTATCTTTTTGGAATAGTATTTTAATGTACTAAGTAAATTTATAGGGAAATCCCTCAACATTAGAGGTTTAATGTGATGTTGAATCTTATACCAAAACTCTGGAATCTGACTGTTTATGGGGAATTATGGTTGTACCACTCCTTAAGGGTAGCAAAATGAGTTATATTGAAAAATTGGAAAAGTGCTATTATTTCAGACTTAAGGATTGGCTTTTGGAAATGTGCAATTTATCTGTTTTGGAAAAGGCAATCTTTTCTATTGATCAAAGAATGAAGCAATATTTTTTAGCATTGATTTTATGATATTTTATAATACTGTAATACAGTGGTATCATTAGGCATTTTTTCCTCTTTTATGCAATTATAATATAGTATTATATGGAATGTTTTGTAAACCAGTGACTATCTATAGGTTTAATTTATTTGTTAGATCTTTAGTTTCAATCCTAACTCTAATCCCTTTTGTATTTAATTTGGTATATTTTGTTACGGTTTTTTGGGGAGGGGTGTCTTTTTTTCCCTTTCCCTTTTTATTTCTTGGATTGCTTAGTTTAATTTTGCTATTGTTACATATTTCAGTACTCCGTTTATATTTTGTAAACTTCTAAAATAAAGAATAAATAACTTACAATGAGTCCATCATAAAAATTGGAACCTTATGATCCTTATCTATATAAATATTGAAAGGTGCATTTAATTTTAAAAAAAAATTCTCTATGGCGTATTATATGCTCACCATGTAGCTGAATAGGAACCTGAAGAATGCATACTGCCAAAAAAAAAAAAAGAATGAATTTCAAATAAACATTCAGTTTACACACTGCACGTGCATGTAGTAAAGTGACCAAACAAAGCCTGAAACCCTCCTTGCCTATACTGGATAGCTTCTGCCCCACCTATTGCAGGGGTAGGTGTTCTGCGATGTCCTTGCCTTGTAAAGCCTGCTTTAGTTTGCAAGATGCGATTTTAAGCATTACTGATGCTTTTGTTTTAATTTAACTTATTTAGTTAGCCGGTGGAAGTTCAAGGGTTTTAGCAAAGAAAGGAAATCATACTCAGGTATAAAGCTATCAAGAACTACTAATCATGATGGCTACATATTATTTCCAGTATCTAAATGGCAGACTATCTAGACTTGCTGCTGAGCAAAATGAGCAGGAAAATGCTTTTATACTGTATGATGTGAGTTTCCCATGCAGTGGCCTTTTGTCTTTTTTCGTAACAGTATTTTTAGTATCTTTTAAATAATAACTCCTTTAGAATGGTACCTTTTATCAAGCTCCTAAGTATTATGCTCTAGACACAGAATGTGGGTTAACAAGACACATGGCATGAATGCATAGGACTCAAAAGGAACGCTGTTTCTATTCCTTTCTTACAGGTGCACTAGCTGGCAATATACCAGATCATTAGGTATAATTGCACACACAAGAGCTGCATCCATGCTAGGAAAATTCATCCTGTTTATCGCTTAGGTCCAAAATGGAGCAAACTACCGTCTCTATCTGATATACCACTGAGAGATTATCATTCAAAGCTGTGTTTTTGCAATATTTTGTACCTAGTTAAACATTCCGGAAGAAGGCAGTGGCAAATCAATTCTGTTCTATTGCCAAGAAAAATACATGGACACATCCATGAAGTCACCAGGATTCAAGCTCAACTCAAAAGGAGGTTTGTTTGTTTAGTACCGGAATGACTGAAGGCTGTGTTCCTACCTCGGCGGGATGATCACAGCAGCTGTCTGGTCTTAAAATTATTGCGGAACAATTCCGAAGGAATTCACTGTTTGCCTTAAGGTGCTTGAGCCAATGCAAACTATTTAAGAAATAAACTACCTTGCTAAAACTCGGGCATCAAATGCGACTTTGGCTGCAACTCCTCTACGCAGTCCCTTAGGAGTAAGGTTCAGTGAACTTTACTTGGCCAACTTTGAACTGCAAACGGTGCTGTTAGGAATCTTGTTTCCAATGTCCTGTTTACGGGCCACTTCTCTCTTTGGCTACACTAAGGACAACTGCAACTTCTCTTTAGGGTTCAACAGGATGAAATTGTGGCTGAACGCTCTGTCAGTCCGCGATGTCGTCAGGGGCAGCCCAGACACTTATTCTTCATAGCGCTTCTTCGCAAATGAAGCGAACCAAACGAATGCCTGCCAGCCTTTTATTTCTTCCTTCCGTTCCCGCTCCCAATTTTCTTTGCAAGCAAAACCAAGGCAGGAGACGCCTCGCCCAAAGAACACACCAGACAGCATCTATCTTTCTTCCTTCCTTCCTTCCTTCCTCTGCAAAAAAAGCAAGGCAGCCCTGAATGGAACGCCAAGGGCGGACCCTCCCTCTTGCCCGGTGTTGGGCGGAGCATCGGAACCGGAAACTGTGACCACGCGGCGATTCCCCCGGGGACGGGG